TGACCTGCATCATCTTCTGTGGAGCTCTCAGCGCATACGACATGGTGCTGGTAGAGGACGACGAAGTGGTGAGTTGAGACTCCACTACCTGGTCGTAGAGCATAAGACAGACACGTGAGCTCCGTTAATAACTCACTGTGTTCCTCTTTTTCAGAACCGCATGCACGAGTCCCTCCATCTATTCAACAGTATCTGCAACCACAGATTCTTCGCACTGACCTCCATCGTGCTTTTCCTCAACAAGAAGGATCTCTTTGAAGAGAAGATCAAGAAAGTCCACCTGAGTATCTGCTTCCCAGACTATGACGGTAAGTCCGACTGATTCTGCTAAAATGATTCATGTCTTATCTGCACACAGATAAATAATGTCACTATGGCAGGACATGGTTTGCTGCAGCAGTGAGAATACCATGCTACATGCACAGACAGGAAAATTGGTGACATAATCTTTCAGGCAGGAAGTAAAAGTGGATCACAGTCAGCTGCCACCAAGTCACGTTTTGGCTTTGATATGCGACTGTAACAGAAGTATGTGTGGCACAAGGCAAACACAACAGATTGAGATACAAAATAATAAAGGTAAAAATCAAGTAAAACAGTTGAGAGTGGGAGCCACATTGTTGTTCCCTCAGTTAAAGTATGTGAAACAAGTGATTATGTTAAACCCACTGTGTAATGTACATACAAAGAGAATGATGTAAAGATCTGGATCTAGTTTTTTTTTCAAACAACAAAACTCATGAAGTGTCTCATAAATCCTCACACCCTTGATTTCTTTTAGGCCCCAACACGTATGATGACGCCAGCAACTACATCAAGTCGCAGTTCTTGGAGCTGAACATGAAGAAGGGTGTGAAGGAAATCTACTCCCACTTGACCTGTGCCACAGACACAAAGAACGTCGAGATTGTGTTCAACGCTGTGACAGACATCATCATAAAAGAAAACCTTAAAGATTGCGGTCTTTTCTAAGCAGCTCCAGAGTAAAAAGAGGTGAGCGGTGACCACATCACATTGCTCCCAGTTGTTGATGCACAGTAATCCAGTAGTCCAGATGAGACAGACCCCTGGCAATTCAATTTAACCCTCATACAGCGAATGATATCTGGTTGTCCTGCGTTGCCAAGCAACAACCTCTGACCATAGCATGGGCTCATACAAACTCAAACCACACAGACAATTTAGACTGTTTGGGACTGTTGAGGATGAGGAATATAAGAATAAAAACCCTGTAGTGATTTGTGATTAAAATCAGTTCCTCTCAAAGCTGCAGAACAAGTTGACTTTTTTTTATCTGATTACAGACCATGATTATGATTATGAAGCCCTGAAGCTATGAAACCGAGCGAAATATTCACCTTTAAAGACAGCAGCAAAAGATTTTATATACGATGAATGAAGCTGATTTCATTCATGTTTGAGATTTATTTTTAATAATTTTTTCCTACTTTGCAGAACTTCCTTTCCTACCTTAACCCCTCACATATTGGCATTTACTGAGAAGTGTACTGATGGAGCTCAGAGGAGGATGCTCAGTTTGTCGTGTTCATGCCATCGCTTCCATGCCTGTTCTGGTCCCTGACTGCTCCTAGCACATCACCACCTCCAACAGTACATCTCTGCAACACAGTGCACGTTCAGCTGGATTGAAACAACTATCACGTCAACGTATTGTTGTTGTGGACGGCTTTCGACAAGATTCTTCAGGTTTTCTAAAGTACAGTATTTGTCTCACACCAGAAGCTGCTGGTTTGAAGGTATGAAGATGAAATAGTTGCTCATTCGATCCTCGTTGCTTCCTTTTGACTACTGTGTTGTGAGTTATATTTACTATTAAAACCAAGCTCTGTAAAATAAATAAAACGATAAAATCCGGGGGAAAATATTAATATTTTGAATAGCAACATGCAACCTTGTTTTTGTTTTTGAGTACAGTAGTCTCTGTGGTCTTGATATTTAAACTGTAAAAAGTTGCTGAGCAAATATCTCAGATATTCCCAGTGCTTGCAGTATATCCAGATTACAAACCAAATTGTACATGTATCTTATCTAAATAGCGTTAATGTATTCCATTCACTTAACATTTTAATGTGACGAATAAATTTCAGAAGGTCAAACATGGTAGAGGAACTTTGTACATAAGAGTAGATAATTCAATATATTTTGAAAGATAAATCTATATGGAAATATACGAGACAGAAGGAAACATTAGAGGAATGACGCAAAATTTATTGTGAAAAGGGAATGCAAATCTACTGAGTATGTCCTTTCTTATGAAATGTAGCGGCATGAAATAAAGATGCATTATCTTCACTTGTGTGTCTATTTCTTTACTGGAGAATCAACATTGTCAGTCACTGAATAATGTATATTAAATTAGAGAAACACTGAACAATGGCCTCCGGATGCTACTTGGTGAGGACAATGCAGCTGTTATATAAGTTCCCTGTTCTACTCAGATGGGAAATGGCAGCGTATGGAAGTTCATTAAAAATAAACCTATTGAGGGAGCAAAACAAATTAAATCTGTTATTATTTTGCAAGTCCAGATTTACTGTGCAGGGACAGATTCATGAGATTTTAGAGCAAGCAAGGAAAAGAGTGATCAGTGTGTTGAGCTGACAAGAGGAACCAGATCAATAGTGAGCTGCAGAGCTTCTTTTGCTCCTGTATTTAAAGCTGCTTGTTTTTAGGTATTGCGCTTAAACTCCACACCAAAGTAGTGCAAAATCCACCAGATCTGTGTCACTTGGTAAGAACCCCACTTTGTGTGTTAGTATTTCCACTTGTCAGTCAATATTTTAACTGTGAAAAGATTCAGTATTACCCTCACAAATAGGCACAAATAACATTTATAAATAAAGAAAAGGCACACAGTATAAAAACAGAAAAATGTAGGGGATGGGTGAAGAGGAGACTGTTGATAATTATAAATTAATTAAAATTCCCATAAAAAGACCAAAACCATCAACTATTCCTCTGAGCCATAAACCTCAATTGTTGAAAAACACATCAGTGGGTGACATTTTCCTTCATTATGATGAACTGTAGTTTATTTCGACTATAGCCTGCATACATCGTCCTGCATCCATAAATACTCAACAAACATATTAATCCACAACTGAAAATAATATACAAAAATACACTTTTTACCCCTGTGTGAGAAACCTTTGCTAAAAACTACATGACTTTAGAGAGATTTAGTGGCATGTAGCGGTGTAGTTACTGACTGCAACACCCTCGCCTCATATCTGCCTATAGAGCCGCCAAGCACACGGGACCTTTAATGGGATTTGTTGATCAAAATTAAAATAAAGAATATTGCCAGCCTAAAATGAACCTATTGAGGATTTTAGGCTCAAAAATGTTCCAAAAATCTTAATAATCTGTCCCTTCATGTGGTCATATTGATAAGATTGATTACAGTTTAAATGTATTTTGGACAATAAGGACATTTAATGAGCAGTGGTGTGTGTGCAGCAGCAGCTGGAACACAATGAAACCTCAGCTGAAGCATATATGTCTCTGAAGTCTCAAAATACTGTTTCTAATGTGCATGACCTCTTTCCCTGCATGGTTTATGTGAAACTAGGCCTCTAATCTTCACAGTTAATAATATCTGATTGGTGTTGCCTGTGGTAAGATCTGGTTTGTTCAGTCTTTTAACATTACAACTTTGCAGCTAAAACAACTCAAATGAACCAGTACAGCTGCAGAAATGTAAAGAGAGCTACACATGAAAACTGTTAATGCTTTCTACCAGGAAATGGCTGATCTGACCCAAACTGTGCTCCACTACAGTGTACTGTATAACAGCAACAGACTTCCTCAGTATTATGTGACAGCTTCGGCCAAAAAAACACAAGCACAGCCTTTGACTTAACTATTCCACTTTTTATGTTTAATGTGTTTAAATATCTTCACTGATATCCATACGATTAAACAATTACCTTGAAAAACAGGATAATCTATATTGGCCTCCACTGATTGAATGTTAGTCATATTTAAACTCCTGTGGACTCTTTCTAATCCCAGAACCAAAAGGTTAATTTATATACATCAAAACTGCTCATGCAAAATGCTTCTCAACATAAGTTATAAAGCTAAAGACTATATTCTATATTCTTTTGCATTTAGGCCTGTAGTTAATTTCTTGTTCCACCCTGCATTCACATGATTTTCCTGCTGTCATTATCTGGGGCTGTAAATTGTGATATAAGCTGTTCTCATCTATCCTGTAGCACGGAGACACACCTTCATCGTTCATCCTTCATCCCTTTCGCCTTCAGTACATTCATGCTGTTGTTATACGTGCCTCTCCACTCTCCATCAGCCACCACCAATGTTTGGACTCTATGGGGGAATTCGTCGTGCTGTTGCACAGGGCAGACACATCTCCATCACAAAAATCTCCCTCTAGGGTCTAAATGCCAGACACTTTCTGTCAGGACTTAAATAATCACATATGTTATAATAAACAATTATTTTTACTTTATTCACTTGAAACGGCATTCTCACATCCACAAGTGAAAATACGTTTAATTGCAACTTAAAATTCAAATAAAACAAGAACAAATGCAAATATTGAATAAATACAATGTGATACACACAAGATAAACAGTCTGTTTTGGTTCTTTGGTTCTGAGACATCAGAGGGGTTTTAGCTGGCACTTTTTCCACAGATGACTACCTGCTCAGTCCATCATAAGTATGTTAGCACATAAAAGCCATTAGGATTGATTCTCTGGCAGCAGTGAGTGTCTTAGCCAAATTTCATTGCAATCCATCCAATGATAATGAATTTAACTCTCTGGACCAAAGTGGACAACAGGCCGATAATGTCATCACATGAGCAAAATCTCAGAAGATCTTTATGTGTTGGTTTGACAACAACACCATGCTGTCTTCAGTGTATGAACCATAGTGCAGGTGAATGTGCTGACCTGCAGGGCCTAATGCTTTAGCAGAGCTTGCTCTTCCTCAGGTTGATCTCGATGATGACATTGGTGACAGCATCAAACACAAACTGCACATTTTTGGTGTCTGTGGCACAAGTGGGTGTAGATCTCCTTACTGTCCTTTTGTGTATTTAAGTCTTCGAACTGGGACTGGATATAAGCTGCAGCCTCTTCGTACGAGTTCCTTCCTACAGTAAAATGTTATAGAAAGATGTTACATGGATTAATCCTGGATAAACAGCTCAGCTTATCTTTTCATTAACAACATGGGTTAAACACACTAAAGCAACACAAAGATACTATTAATCAGTGACCAAGAAAAAGGTTTCCTACTGCTAAAAACTGACAACAGAAGAAGACGTTTTCTCTGTTTACTGCCAGTGAACCACTTATTGGGGGCTTACTTTAGAATGTTTCATAGTTTTGCAGGTTTTCTTCATTCTACTGTGGGACACACGGTGCTTCAAGCTCGTTTTTAATTAAAAAGTGGGGGTCAAATGGTCAGCAAAGCACTTGAAATAAAAACAGGAGCACTCCTAATTATTGATGATTTTTCAAAGTCATTTTGTAAGCAAGTGGTTGTTAAATTTGTGTTAAAACCCTTTAACAATTTAACTGTGACAGATATATACTGAATATATGACAAAATACATCACAGACATTAGAATGAGCTGAGTTAACTGTCAATTCAGAGTTAAAGTTAAAATGCAGATATGTTAGTCTGCTGTACAGAAAATGTATTCAGGCTTCAGTTCACAGTAAAACACAGAGCCTTTGTCTGATTGGTAAAAGTGTCACTAGTTCAAGCACGCACATTATAAAGACACATATTATACTCAAAGCTTATTTAACATACACCACAACCTCAAAAGTGGCTTTTGCTGCAGAAACTAAACCGTACAGTATCCTCAAGGGTTTAGGTCAATCAATAGCATGATCACACATTTCCAGGAAGTCAGTTATCACAGAAGATAAGTGAAAACCCTCTACTACACAATCTGTACATTAAAACTCAATAAAGTTCAGGTTCGTCTCACCAGAGTATTCGGGGTAGCAGATAGTGAGCGGACTCCTGCTGATCTTCTCTTCAAACAAATCCTTCTTGTTGAGGAAGACGATGATGAAGGTGAGCGTGAACCACTTGTTGTTGCAGATGGAGTTGAAAAGCTTCATGCTCTCTTGCATCCGGTTCTGAGGAAAGAGCAGACGTGGACCCATGGTTCGAATTTTTTCACAGAAGACAGTTTAACATGTCATAGCAGGAGCAAGTATAATTAATAAAATGAATGATTTGATTTCAGGGTTCAAGGCTCTTTGTGGCAGGTAAGTAAAATACCACAATACCATCGTAAATGATACAGACTAACTAGAAACCTTTTATAATGGGATTACACCAGCTGTGACGCCTGTCAACATGTTGGCGTTCTGATTGATGACCCCAACACTAGGTGGTCATTATTATAGCACCATGTTGGTACTCAGTAGGGATACTCATGGGTCGGACCACACCCTCCTGGTCTTCATTTACTACAACTCAACTCAACTACACACCTGTACAGTTTCATAACTAGAAGGTTGTGACGACATGGCTTTGACAAAATCTGTCCACAGACAGACGTGTACACCTGACAAAGTACTTAGAAATGGTTCTGTGGTAGTTCCCGCTACAGTATCTGTGTCTCCAGGACCACATCTTACCATGATGACACACAGACTCACAAGGTGAAAACCATTATAATATTACAGACAATAAACATCTTGAACATGAACATTACCAGCCAACACTGTCGCAGCTGGTAATAAAAACATGTTTTACACGACTTGTGGGTGGCTGAATTCAAAAGGAAAGGTGCTGTTGTGTCATTGCCAGTTCTTACAAGCTATAAAAGCTGGTTCTCTGTCACACTGTTGTTGCTCACTGGGACAATTGAACAGAACTGAGCCATCGTTAACATTGTTAGTATAACGGTCCTCTTCTAACTATGATAAATCTATCAGGCCTATCTCAATTTTTGTCCATAGAAAACATAAAATCGAGTACATCAAATATATGTTAAGATATAAATAGTGAACCTAAACCATAGTTTATCCATTACTTGCCATCTCTCCATCTGCAACCAAGACGTGGTCGTAGTCACTGAGCGCTACACAGAAAATTATACTTGTGAGTCCCTCAAAAGATAAGACCCAATTTAAATTCCGCTTCCGGGAACTCCCAACATCAAAAATCCTGCAGACACATTATACACACATTATTTAAAGCTCTGAATGGGTCGATTTTGTTATGGGGGTGTGGTTACAGCAGGGTTGGAGGAGGGCTGTGGCAGTAGGCCCTAATGTGATATTTTTTATGGGGCCCAAAATCTTACCTGGCAGTAAATTCAAGTAGAGAGAAAAATCAGCACTTCTCATAGCAACATGAGGCAACTTACAGAGCTCAGATTAAGCCAAATACAGACACATTAGTAAAAAAATAGAACCTGTGATGAACAAAGACAAAATGTGCTCACAAACTGGAGAATAAACCTACATGGCTATGGATGTAGGAAACAGTCTGAACAAAGTTGTACATGCAGCTTGATATGACCTGCCTCTGTAAAAGTCTTTGCAATCAAGATTTAGTTAATATGTAGAAGTTTGTTGGCCGGATGCCATGCTGAAAGCGGGAGATCGAAACCAGAGTGTTCAGTGGTCTGGTGCATTTAGATGCTGTGTGTCTGGACCAGAAGAGGAGAGGAGAGAAAAAAAGGAGAGAGTGACAAGCAAGAGGCCGCCAGAGAAGAGCTGGCCTTCTTGCTGTTGGACTAGTAAGTAATCATTTCCTGCCCTCGTAATAATCTTGCAGCTGTTATAAGAGTTGAGACACTCAGGTTGGAAAACACTGTATTAAGTTTCATAATGAGGACATCCAAATGCTCACCAACACAATAAACTGAACCAGTCTTGAAGTAGAGATCATTGAAGGTGAAGTGAGTTTCCACGATGCCGGTGGTCTTTATATGTGTACGCAGCACATCCTGCTGAGTCGGGACGTAGTTCGGCTGACAGATCCTGTCCAAGTCATTCAGGTAGCTGACAGACAGAAAACATATGAAGATGATCACAGAGCCGACAAACACATCATAGTACAATTTAAATGTACAGTATGGGCCGCTCCCAAAATGTCTTTGATAAAAGAGATGTCCCCAAAAAATCCTGTTTTTCACACTTTTAACACCCTTTGGTAAAAACTAAGCCTTCCTGACAGATACAGGTATTTCGGACACTTATGTCTGGTGAAGTGGAGGGTTTGCTCTGCAGACAGACATCCGGGGACTCCACAGTATGATACTAAATATGGGCTCATATTTTGGTACATGATAAACACAGGCTCCTTGTGGGCTGAGTAAAAACAGACTAACTCCACTGGTTCCTCTTGTCTCGTACTGAGGATAAAGAGCCACGACAGCTCGGCTGTTTTCAAAACAAAGAAGGTGTCCTTCACACTGAGTCACTTTCCTTCAAAGCGAGTGAGATATAAACGCTGCAGAAACACAAAACCTTGGGCTTTATCCATGTCTGATTGTTACTACAAGACTGAACTATATTTAGCTCAAACTGCTATGTTTGCATTTTTCACTGAACTTCATCAGACAGTCGTAGTGAGCGGTGGACAATCACAATAAACTGAAATTTGAACAAATGAAGTGATATCTGGAGAGCTTAGGCTGACAGTTTCCAGTTTCTCCTTTTACAGGAATGTGATCAACTGTGCAACAAGCTGACACAAGACACGAAGAACAAGACACATCTTGCCTCTTTCTGCGTTCAGTGGAAATATTAGAGACATGTAGGAGGAAAACTGCTCTTAGTCAAAGTTATTATAATGAGGAAGACAAGAGCACAAGAAATATCTTATTAAAGAGTAACACCTTGAAGATGGATGAGGCAATTTCAAACTTTACTTTAAATCGTCAGAGCAGTTTCACTTCCATTGGGAAGTGCAAATACATTACATACATGAGTATTAAAATGACACTTGATTCATTGAAAATTTTCAAGTAAAAAGAATCAGGTGGAACTGCAACTAATGATTGTTTTTCATTAATGAATAAGTTTGCAGATTAACGTTCACGTATTAGTGATTGTTGGGTCTATAAAACGTCTTCATAAGGCCCAGCTTAATTCATCAAATGACAAGCAAGAAAGTTTTGTCAACCAACAGAACACTTAACTTTTTAAAATATATTAGTTTACCACACACAAATGTTTTTATGATCAGAAGTTTACATAACGGAATCTATTTTATATTTTGAAAAAAGCGTCTGGTTCGTTCTGCATCTGTGCTACCTTGACGGCTGGTTTTTTGACGGAAGCGCAACCAGCTGCGTATTGTCAAGAGCAGAAGTGGAGAGCAGATTCTGGGATGCTTCCTTGAAAGGATCTACGACTTAACAAATCACCAGCAACCAAGTTCATCGTTTCAATTTCTCCATGTTTGTAAAAACAAATTTCATGAGAATCAGTTCAGAATTAAAGTGAGTCAGTTTGTAGTAAGTCTCTCAGTAATATGCTATTATCTTACTAGAAATCCTGACTTCTCCAACATGGCAATGTACAGGAGTGGCCAATGACCTATATTTTGCAGCTGAATACCAGATAAATTACTTGTTAAGACATTTTCTGCAGATTGCTATTTAGAGATTAAGGCAGCTAAGTATCTGTAAATCGACTCATTTAACAAGCATGTAGTTGGTACTTAAGTCTGTGGGGGTCTGTATGAAGAGAAGTGAGTCCTCACTATGCAGCAGAGTCGTTGAGCTGATACTCTCGAGATCGATCGAAGCATGTCTGAACTCCGCTATCTCTCCACAGCCTCTGAATCACGGTGGCCAGCTCTGCTGGCAATACCCCTTCCTCCGCTGAGCTCGCCAGGGCAAACAGCTGGCGGGCATCGTCCTAGCAATAAAGACAATAACTGCTATCATTGTGGTGATTCATATCATGAATGAGGATGTGGCTCTTTAAAAGTCATGATTAATGCAGACTAAATGTAGTTAACTTACCGCCCGTGCAGCATCCCCAAAATCTATCTTTAACTGGCCCATTGCCCTGATGATGGCCATGATGGATTGGATGGTGTTGCTGTACACCACCACTTTGTACTGCTTGCACTCCTCTTCTGAGTAACCATCTTCATGAATGATTCTGACACAAACACACACAAATAAAATCCAAATAGGCTTTTAGAGTCCAGATAAATGTTTGACAGTGTGAACAATGGCTTAAGCAAATGTGGAACAAATTGCAAATTTGAAAAACTTAATGCAATACTGTCATTACGGCTGGAATTTGAGCTTCAGTGAGCATGCAGCACGCCTAATGTGGGAACTGGGGGACTCTATTCAGGTCCTGCCAGGCTACGACTGGCCTCTGAGGCCATTGTTTAACACATTCTGCAAAAAGGGGGCTTCCTCCTCTGCCTGAGTGCAGTGAAATGGGGCTCCTGCTTTGCTTCCACTGTATTCCCACAAAGATGAACCCTGTTTGTAATCACACACCATTAACCTCTGACAATAAGCTGAAAGTGGCAGTGAGGTAGTGGGATGGTCTTTCATCAGTGGAACACAAAAATAGTGTCAAGTTTCCAACTGGACGTAGGACTTTAATAAGTCATGTGCATCAGTATTATCACAACTGTGTTACAAGCTGTCACTTACTTCATCTGCTTTACTATTGTGCTTTTCCCAGATTCTCCAGCACCTGAAAAAGAGGGACAGTAGTTAAAAGAGGGGCATACATACCACAAATGATGGCAGCCACAAAAACACCTCCACAGTTTCAGACCCCTCTCACATCGAAGGCTAAACCGAATCTAATCTCATATAATCACGCATCATGCTGTATGTTTGCATCAAAACACCCATAAAACAGCAGCCTTGTGATAAATTCTGATGGCTGATTCTGATTTATGTGGGGCCTGAGGGAGCATATATACAGTCATAAAGAACTCCTTTACATTCTACACTACTGAACTATCTGATTAACCAGTCAGTGGTTACTTCTGCCTTAAGAACCAAGATATTTGTAACTGGCCACAGAAAAACACAGACATCAGTGTCAAATGTAGGGATCAGATACCATCTGCATACCCTAAAATGTGTATACCACAGCCTGGAGCTTTAGAGGATCATGGGGAGAAGTGAGTATTGTGATGAGCTGGGGCTCCACCTTAGGAAGTGAGCGCTTATATAATAGTGTCAATCTGTGACAAATGATGAACTAATGACTGGCACAACTGATATCAAAGCCTCACTGAGCCTCTATTACAATAAAGGCCATTGTAATAATGATGGGGGAAGGGATTTTACACGAGGAATCTTTACAGTATTTCTACACCAAACAGGAAACAGTTGTCATGCTTCTGGCTGAGCCAGTGTTTTTCCATTTGAGAGACAATCCCAGATATCATGCTGTGCTGGGCGTTAGAAAGCAGAGGTGCCATAAAAACACCACATTGAGCCTGTCTGCGATTTAAAGCCCCACAAAAAACCAACTCTTCTCTGACCCAAACCCAGCTGTTCAATATGAGAGAGTCTGCTCTTTTTCTATTTGGTATATTTAACCCTGAGAGACAAATGTCAGAGTGACTCATAATGTCTTCTTTCCCTTCAACAGAATCAAACAGGCATCTTTGATACTGGAGCAGATCAGATGTTGGCAGCCGTTTGTTGTTTTTTGTTTCTTTTTACAACAAGCAGACAACAAGGAGTTTCACACTCTCCTCCAGCCCTTCTGTGAAGCTGCCTGCCACACATACCATGAGTACTCACTACAACAGCGATGTGAATGTGATGGTGGTGTTGGTTTTCTTCCACATTGTGTGGCCTTTTTCAGCATGAACCATTGAAACGGATTTCGAGGTTTATTAATTTGTTGCATAAAAGATCAATACCACTGTGGAATTTGAGGCTAGAGCCGCAGCCGCTTATCTTAGCTTAGCATAAAGACCAGAGAATCAATGTTCTCAACTCTCTCAAAAGGTTGTACTATTCTTTTTAGTCCTCATGGTTTAAAAACCTTGTTTGTTGTTTGAAGTATCAACAGTTTGAAAAACTGATAATGGCTATGGTTTGGACTGCAGTACCATAGTTGGCCTCAGGGACAAATTGGCAACATGAATGTTTCACTGTACCAAATCTAGTCCTCCTAACAGATCGATGGAGGCCTGGCCAAGCCACTGGGATCTGACTGCAGGTTTCAGTGGTGGAGAGTCAGAGCTTTGCCCCATGTGCCACCCACTGACTCAGCAGAATCAGAAATATTTCATAGCCAGAGTTTAACTAAAAGAGGGATGAAAACATATGTGCACATGAAACATATCAAACTCATCCAACCAGTGATAAACATCTGGGGTGAGTTTATAGTGGCAGTGGAGCTTTTGCTCAATATAACTGCAGTAATTATCAGCAACCGCAGGATGAAGTAGTTTTCAGGCAGTGGAATTTGAAATATGGATAGCAGCTTCTCTTTTAAAACAGTCAGGAACAAGTCTCAATGCAAGGACGCTTAAATAAAATAAACAAAATAAGGACATACATTGTCTTAGTATTGTTTCCCTAAAAGATGGCGAGGCATGTTCCCGCTGCAAGTTAGGAATCCTGAGTAGATGAGTTTTGTCAAGGAGGCTTACAGTTCACTGATATGTTCAGATGGCCGGCCAACCATAAATATATCCATGAATTCTTTGGTTAAGCTGTCACCAGCATAAGCGATTCACGCCCCACTCAGCACAGACAAGCAAGACAGGACAAATTGTGCTGATCCCTTTCCTCAGTTCTGTCAGTCACAAATTATCTCATTCAAGGCATTTTTGGCTGATAGTCAAGCGTGGTTTTCTGCCAGTTCACAAACCAACTTTGCACAGGCATTCACAGAGTTGTCCAAACCCATGCAGGAGTCAGACTCCAAACCAGGCCTCATTTAACAAGAATCTCAATTGCAGATTTTTTATGAATCACTGTTTGTGGTCAAACAGGAAACCATTTTCATTGGAAGGGTCTTCGAGCTTTGTGGTTTTGTATAAAGAACAGCAGTTGAACTCTTTGTTTTCCCCCTATAACTCTCCTGTTCCAGTACAGACAGGGAGTGGAGGGCACTGCCTGGAAAAATCACATCCCCTTCAGCTCTGCGGTCAGAACATAAAAAAATGAATGTTTCCATACAATGAGATTTTAGCACTGCATTGTAATGTTGCACCACCTCACGTATCAGCCTCAAGTTAATCCTCATAGATCAGTTAGCTGCTGGTCTGTATCTTCCCCAAACTGATCCAACAACAACATCTATGTGACTTCATGTGAAATCTATTTCAGGTCTAACTTCTGTCATTACAATCTGGCTTCAACTACCTAAAATAGCTTTTCTTCTTCACAACAAACCAATGCAATCAGGCTGTAAGACAGAGGAAAAGCACTACGATAAAGTTGTGGGTATACATGAAATGGTAGGAAGGGTTGGAAGGTTGGGTTTTGTTCTTGCCATATCTTCTAGATGAAGGTACAAGAAGATCACAGTAAACGTCGAGAGGAATCTGCTGACCTCATTGTGAGAATAATGCTATTAACAGGAATGTGATCCAGAAAACAAACATTAAAAAAGCAGTAAAAAAACAAATAAAAAAATGTATCAAATATCTGGAGATTTGCACTCAGGTTGTTCCTGTTATAATGACAACTGCTGAGACATGAATCAGTTGATTGGGATTTCTCTGGAAGAATGACTCTTCAACAAGACTCTTCAACGCCTCTAAAAATGTCACATCAGGGTCCTCCCTAACAGTTTGCACTCGTCCCTCTACTATCTTTGCTCACCAGTGGTCATAATCAGCTAATTAATTCGTCTGCCTGGCCAACCATGACTGATCCTTTTAATAACATGAGGGTTGGAGATTTTTCACGATAAACAGATATGACGCAACTTGTTGAGACATAATCTTTTGTACGTCATATTTCGGCAGTGCATTATGTTGCAACGTCTAGAGGAAGTTCTGTTGCATGAATGTAGTGATAATTTCAATGACTAATTTAATAGCTCCACCTGTATCACCCATTTATTCAGGTACTTGGTACTCTCATTTATTTTGGTACCATGCTTCAGACATATCTAATCAGATTACATGAGATCACATTACAGGAAAAAAGAAGAGGGGGAACTCTGAAAGGTTCTTGTCAGTAAACTATCTCTTTAGCATTTGAATAACACATGGTCGAGGTGTCTGTGCTTTTCTTCTTTATATATTTCTTTTGACATGAATTGCAAAACATTTCATGCAAAAAAAAAGCATTGTCTCAACCAAGGCGTCAAGAGCATTGCATTACAACAGTGTGTGAGTGTCATTGTATGGTGGTTTCAATGCAGTTATAGCTGACATGTGGTTAAGAAATTACTGTTTTTTTTATTTATTTAAGCAGCTCAGTTAAATCTGCTCCTATCAATATTTTTTATATTAACAATGGCTAAAATCATCACAAAATTACTACCAAACTCTAGTTCCCCTCAGCTCTACAAAGTGTTCTAGTGTACTTCAGCTCTGCTTTAGCTGTTTTTGGTTCACTCTCATCAGCACCATTTCCAGCTTCAACTAGCGTTTGACTGACTGGTGTGTTCAGTGAAAAAGCTCTAAAAACCAACTGTACACTGTCAATACTGAAGCATTTAGCAGCCTGAGCTGGATATTTCCCTAAGGAGATGTTGGAGAACAAGTCTTGCATTATTTAGACTTTTTGTCCATCAGCATAAAGTCACTGTCCTGAGAAAGTGACCTCTCAATTTGGTCTATTATTTATTAGCAACGAGTAAATTGAACATGGTGTCTAATCATTTTTGTATAAGTGTGCCAGCATGTGATAATTCTGATAGTGGTTATTCAGACAAAATAGACCACTCTAAAGCTTAAATAACATGTGAAGTGTATTTGTCAGTATTTTTATCATTATTATTATTATTAGTTTTATTATAAACTGCTATGATGGCGTCAAAAGTGCAACAGGATAGTCGCCTTACGCACAAAGAGCACACAGTTCTGAAGCGGTATGATATTGTTTCAGAATTGTTTTATCACACATATTGTATATAGAGCAGTGGTTCCCGTGGAGGTTGGGGCACCACAAGGGCTCTCAAGACAAATCTGAGGGGTATTCACATGATTCAATTGTGTTTTTCTTGTGAAATACTGAATAGTTTCACTTCTCAAGGCCTCGACAAGTTCTTCAAACGAGACAAATCCGAGGAGGAAAACCACACCAATGACCATACAATGGTCGTAATGTGTGATGAGGGGTCAAAACATTTGCACAATTTCCGGGGGTCTCACACTAAAAGTGCTGGGGACCACTGCTATAGAGAATACACAAACACATTTGCTACTAGAAAATGAGATGTAGAGTTAGATAACACGGGACATTCACACTCAGAGTTAACTTCCTGTTAGAGGGAACAGAGTGAAATATTGATGAGTGCCGCTGGTCTGGGGGCATTTAATCCTGCTGGCACGTCTGTGCAGTCCACACCCACAGTGTCAGTGCCACTGAGTGTGTCTGTAAAATACCAGCAGGCAGTGCAGTTACACACAGCCAGTGCTCAATGGAGGCAGGAGAGAGTGAAATAATGGGTGTACATAGTTAGTGTAGGCGCGGCCAACCTGGGAGTCACCGGTGTCAGGCAGTTTTTTTTTGTTCCAGCAAGACTGAATTAACTGAAATGAACTCAAACATATTCTAGTTCAATTAAATGACTACATATAGAGCCGAGCAAGATGAACAATAACGAAAATCACCATAACCTGAAATCTCGCTTGAGACCAATTCATTTATTGATAACTGAGATAATTTGACCAAACCACAATCTTTTCCTAAACCTAACCTCATATTTTTTGGTGCCTAAATCCAGGGGCGGATCCAGAGAAATAATCATGGGGTGGCAAAAGAGTGACAAGGAGTTTAAGGGACAGAGGGGGGAAATCTATGCTGATTTCCCTCTCTAAACCTACTTGGAAATTCACTGGCAATGATTTTGATGTATCAGTTACTCATTTTAGTAATTTTTCAAGCCAACGTTACCAAGTTCTAGCTTCTTAATTTTAGTTATTTTATGCTTTACTTTGTTATATGTTGATAAACAGAATATGTTTTGAGTTTTGAACTGTCAACTTCAACTTTGAACTTGTCACAGACAACTCTAACAGATCTAATGTTATTTTCTGTCAATATGTTAACCTAGAAACCAATCATCACAATAATGTAATCATGAGCTGCTGCCCTAAAAATCAGACTATGGCCGTGTTCACACTGCAGACACAAGTTCACCAAATTGAAAGATTTTTCATGACAGTGTGAACAGCACTAACCACATTGATGTTCTCAGTTCTAATTTGGCCACTTCCATATATGGTCCAAACCAGATCAGATCAGATCTGATTGTTCTGCAATGGGACCTCAGTGTGAACTGTCATATCAGAAGTCATGTGATTGTTTACGTCACCCTAGAGCAACCTTCCTCATGCAGGTCACTTCATGACTGCGACCTGTTCACACAACACATAATCAAAACACATCTGAATGAGCGCTGAGGCTTGCAGTGTGACTGTAGCATAAATAACGATGTAGAGATACAGCAGCTGGTTGACAGGATAGTCCTCACACTGAACATGTGATAATACATTTGACTCAGATGCTGCTTTGTTTTAGTAGTTTACACACCAAAATGATGTGGACCAATTACAATTAAATTTGATTAAAAACACCACAATGGCGATTATACTGGCCAGCTCCAAAACCTGCATGCAAAGGCCTGCACGAGTTACAACGTGTTTTGTAACAAGTGTCAACACTTAGTCTCCTCTGAGCACGTACTCCCTGCCTTTCAACAAGTATACGCCCCCTCCCCCTCCCACCACCAGCACACCCACACCCACCATACATGATATATCACTAACATCTGGTTTACTTCTACAAGTTGTGTCAGTGCAGAAATGATGAGCCACAGCTGCATTAAACCAGCAAAAGGAAGAGGAGTGTTTGGCCCTCAGATACACTTTAGTGAACATGACAAGTAGCCAAAAGATTGATGATGATTAAAAGTGATCTCACGCATAAAAAGAAGCCAGAAACACAGTTCATACCGAGCAGAAGCAGTTTCACTTCTCTGGAGGATTTCTCTCTGTCCTCCCGCAGGTTTTTATCAATCATTTTACTCCTCTCCACTGCTGCCTTGTCCTCGGCGCTGATCGTGCACCCCATTTTCCCTCTGTGATGAACTACTTTAGAGTCGGACTGTGGGTTTTCAGCAGGTCATGAGTCGACGGGGATCGCCGTCAAACAGCCCTTGAGGCGGTGTGAGCTGAAGTTTCTCAGCCGGGGAGAAGCGGAGAGAGAGAGAGAGGGAAAGGCGTTGGCACCGGAGGCTCGTCTGTCCGACTACAACCAGTCTTGTGCAGAGCTCTCAGCTTCAGTCCACACACTCCTGTCTGTCCAGATGATTAAATACGGGATTTTAAGCGAAACTCTCCCCAAAGCAGATGATTTAAAATCGTTTTATCCAACTTATCCTTAGTTTAAAATCACAGAAAAACGTAGAAATTAGAAAAGAAGAAAACAAAATAGGTTACTTCATGTAGAAAGTTGTCAGAAAAAAGAAATAATCCAGCTTTTTGAAGGAAAAAATCGCAATAATAAAATCACTGGATCTTCCCCATAAGACTAATGCTGCTGCGCAGTCGCGCGTTCATCCAGATGATCCAGCTGCAAACCAAGAAAACGGTACTGAAAAAGGAAAATTGATGCGCCCCAGACGGCTGATGGGAAATGTAGTCTCTTCCAAACTACCAGATGTGTGAATCCTGTCTGTGTGGCCTAATTATCTCTCAAAGTCGGACACAAATCGGTGTATTCCTCACTAGTCTCAGTGGACTGAGGGACTTTGTGGTTTAAAACCAGCTGAAGACTCAGGTGCGCGTTTTCTCCACATCGATTCTCAGTCAGCAGAGAGGGGCAGGAGCTTTGTGTGATATTAGAGCGCCGCCAGTGGACGTACAGCTGAACTGCAGGTTCAGTCTGAGACTAAACAACACACGACACAATCATCCACTCAACAGGTTTATTATGGCGTGATTTTAAACCTGTTTTCCTTCAAGTTTGCCTGATTACAACCTAGTTTTTAAAAATCTTAACGCAAACAGGCAGAAATATTAACAAAATCAAGAACACAAAAGAGCAGATAAAAGGGTTTCATGTGTCTGAATTTAGAGTGTGAAATCTTCTGTGAGTTAAATGATGGGTAACATCATTTAACATCATGTTATTATTACAAGAACCTTTCCTAACATCATTTTCTCTCTCCACATTGGCTTTGATGTCACTGTGTTTCAATCCTCCTTCAACATTGTACACCACCACCGATCATGTTTATGTACTCCAGTATATTAGTGCAGTTAATGCAGCTTCCTGGTTGATGCTACATGACATTTGCAACCAGAGATAATACAGATATAGACCACATTCACACTGCTGGCAACAGCGGGCTGAATCAGATTGTCATGTGACTCAGATCTGTTTTTGTGTTGGTGAACAGCACAAATCACATTGATCTGATCTTTTCTACTCTGTTATGTGGTCCAGATCAGATACAGGTCTGAGTTTTTGCAACTCAATGCAATGTGATCAGTTTGAAGCAGTTTGCCTTGTAATCCAGCAGAGGGCGCTCCCCTATCAGGTTGACCTATGGTCCTATTGACCTTTCAGTACACTAAACTAAAAAATTTTATGTTGTTACTACAACAATAATACGGAGCAAAGCATGGAGAAAAGCTGTCCTGAGCAGACAGACACCAAAGCATCTGAGAGGCAATGTGCTTCTGCTGACTTTGTACAAAGTTGTTTAACTCAACAAATTTGTGGACCCGCTTGCTAACATTAGCTTGCCACAAGTGTACAGACTCATCTGACTGCTACTATTTGGCACTTGGTGTCAGCAGGCCAGTTGCCAGAAGCTCATAAAAAACACCTTCGCTGATAAGTAAGTAAGATTTTTATGCAAAGATATAGTAAGTAAGTATAGTTGGTGTGGTAAGAGTGAATGTCTTTAACCTTTAGTCTTTCCCATGTGGTGTCAAACAGTTATAATATGTGTGTTTTGAGATAATTTTTTCAAATTCATTCAAACAAATTCATTATTGGAAAAAATAACGGCCCTACAACTGTGGGTCAACGTTCATCACAATCCTGCACTGGCGGGAGTCACTCAGAGAATACATACATGTAAGACAGTTGGTATGACGGTGGAGGGACAGTGAGGTGTACCTTTGGGGTATTTGGGGTGACACTTCTTCGAACTGTAACTGGTCTGTATTTGCTCTTACGCTGCTGTCACACACACACCTCCTAACAGAAGTAGCAACCATTGCTGCACAGAAAGCCATAATTGAAAATGTGTCCTCGTTAATGTCTGCTTATGAATTTGCTGCCATCCACTGTACATCAAACCACGCATGTTGTCTTCAGTGGCCTCCATGTTTCCTTCCGCATGATACCTTGCTGTGTGACATTATATTACATATTATTGTACCTTTGCAGTTCAGGACTGGGACCTGTTCACTCTGGAATCAGATTTTTAACAAATAATGTGAACAGCCAAACAAAAACAATCAGATCTAATTGTTAAGGCTCGCAGTGTGAATGCAGCCATAAATCATACAACCAACAACTTCCTAATCAGCTGTAGTAGAAAGAATTAACAGCAACAAAAGCGATCTTTGTTCTTGTGAATGGCTTGTAACTGATCTATTAAGAATTAGTAAATAAAAAACGTAATATCTAGAAATTTAATTCTAATTGGTATATTATTGGTAATAGTAATTGGCTCATTAATTAATAGACTAATTAAATTATCTTAAAAATTCTAACTTTTAAGACCTTACTTTGGGAACCATTTTACAGTTTATCTTCAAGTACATTAATGATCTCTTAACTTTGTGTTGAAACACACCCGATTCATCCGCAAAATGACTGCGCTGTGCACCCGGTCGCCCTCCACAGTGACACGGTGGTGGCATCTGTCCTTGAGCACTCTCACTGGGTGTGTTGCAGCCAGTCACAAAGGTCAGACTGTTTGAACTGTTTCTGTGCACTGCAGGAGGCGCCCTCCACGGCTCAACATGAAAGCTATGAGTCAGTCTGTCCGATGGGGAGCAGCACAGGAGCGGGTAAATTAGGGTTATCAGAAAATAGAGCATGAGTGCTGCTGATGTGTGATTTTTTTTTACTTCCAACAATGTGCATTATAACCTAGAAATAGTGTGTATTCAAAGGAATAAGGGGGTCTTTCTGATATTAATTTACACAATCTATATATAAATAGTGTTATACACCTTCTATTATCTCAACTGTTATAATAAAATATTAAAACAGAAGTATAAATACATATAATTGTACTTATATACTTCTGTTTTATTCATTACTATATTTAAGATTTTTCAGATTTCTCAGTGTTTCGGTTATCGAACATTACAGTGTTGTTCACAACGTCCCCCCACTAACTCTCAGCCTCAGCATACTGCCTTCTTCCAAATGTCACTCCTCTTTCATCCTGTCCTTAGTGCTTAATTTCACCTCTGTGACGCTGCACCCCCCACCTGCACCACAGACACACACACACACACAGGAGGAGGAGGCACGAGAGAAAGAGATGACTGACAGGATTGATCATGTGATAGATGCGGTTATTGATCTAAAATTGTCTCAGTCAATCAACAACCACAAGACTCAAGTTAATATTCTTGCTGTGTCTTTAATCATTTCAACTGATGGGCAACCAGTACACAGGAAATCTTAACAAGGGAAAAAGAAACTCTAATAAGGAAAAATCCAAACGGTCTTTTCAGCTCAGGTACAAAAAAAAAAGGATACAGAGAGAAAAACGAACATATCGACCAAACTGTGGCTATCAGGTTGTGAATATTTTCTGCCGTTCACCTTCTGAACAGCTTATTTCTCCGTCCTTGTGATCAAAAGATGGTGGCAGAAATAGAGTTTAAAGCATTTAATCTGAATGGTCAGGGGGGCAATTCTGCTGCTACGGTAACGGAAATCCAGTTGATTGAATGGTGGGTTGATGTACACTCAACGTGAGGGGCTTTGTAGACTGTGCGAAATATCACTGAGTTTATTACAGCATCGTGCACTAAAGAGGAGATGATCAATAATGATCAATGAGGAAAGATCTCAGATTATCTAAAGAGATTAAACCCTTGTTCCTGTACACTGGTGTAATCAATAAAGTTTGTTTTTACATTAAATCAGATTTTAATGATACTTATAATATTGTATTTTGTAGTTTCTAATCTTACTAATAAAACTAAATTGAAAAACATTGAGGATCGTGGCAGTGATATTCGTGTTTTTTACTTCATGTCTTAACTAAATTTGGGCCTCACATTACTGCACCATCTTTTGACTCCAAAGAAACATTTTAAAACAAGATGACATGACAACCCATCTAAAAAAACAGTCAGCAACAAAGTCATATCGCAAGGAAATTAAGAACATTATGTCTCCCCCCCTGACAAAAGGACCTTTTTTTGTTCTGACTCCCAGCAAAATATGACCCTCCCCTGTGCGCCTTGTGTTGAGTGTCTTGTGATCACGCCAGTCCGGTATGAGGCAGTCCAAGAGAGCAAGTATAAAAAGAGACCAGAAAAAAGTGTTTAGTAAGAGATTTGTGCCTTGTAATTTTCTTTGGAACATTTGTCACTGCTTGTGTGACTTGTGCAAACTGTATTCCACCTGAGATCAGAGAAAGTATCACCAGTGTCTGCCATTTGTTGCTAAATGAGGCCAAAGGCAAAGCTTGCCATGTGTAAGCATTGTCTCACCTGTGTGCTGTGTAGCCACAACAAGCCTGGTTGTTTATAGCACAAACACGAGAGCACTCACTGCTGTGTTTACCTGTAAACAGCACAGACATCTCAGGGTAATGGGGACTGGTCGCGATGCCTGAATCCATCCACATCGAGCCTTATCTCAACAAGCTGACAGTTTTAATGTGCTGATGTTTTTCCAAAGCTGAAATCCTGAACACCATCACTGTCATACAAATTAAAGCAGTCACAATGTTTTTCTTTGAGTGGAAGGGGGTGAAATCACGAGTCTACCAATGTGAGATGATTTTGGTGAGGAGGTGATAATCACAAGACTAAGAACAGATAAACATGATAATAATGTTCCTGGAAAATGGTTAAAAATATACTGGTGTCAGCCTGTTTATTATAAATACCACCAGCAGCACCAGCTGTAAAATGATCCTTTTCAACACAATGAATATTTCAAACAGAAAGATAATTTACTTAATGGCTCTGAATATTCACTCCTTTCTATGAGGAGAACTTTTTTTTTGCATTCATTACCTGGTGGTATGAGGAGATGTTCAAGTGGCATAAATACACTTTAATGCAACAAGATTCATTACTCTCTAAACAAACTGGCAACAGCAGTAACCGACAACCTTTAATTTTACCTCCTCCTCAAGTTTGTTGGAGATGAACTAGATTCCAGAGGAGGAAAATGCAGATGGAAGTACAGTATTTGTGATGATATATGTAATTGTGATGTTGGGTCATGATTGACTTTATACTGTACAATATATTCTAACATCTGATGAAGAATCCAACTTTTAATGACAAATCGAATTCGTCTTTAAAAGAACGCTTATCAAAACTACACTTTTCTGTCTTCATTTAAAAAAAATAATGGCTCTTATAGTTTTCCATTAACTGTGAAAACTGTTTCCCCTGAAGAGATTCAGCACTTCTTTGTGTTTATATGATGTTTGTCACTTCGCTGACCCATGACACAACAAGGGTTTAGTGTCCATCTGCTAACATCACACAGAAAACAGCCTGATACTGTAAAGCTCTGGGAACATGTAATGCTGCAGCATCATGACTGTTGTTGGTAATATGAAAGCTACATAACTTAAATTCTTCAAAGAAGATACTGTGTTTGCAGGTCACTGGATTTTTAGCTTAAAAGCACTGTTGTAGTATGAACAAGAGATATATTAATTCAACAAATTTTAGAAAAATGAATAAAACTAAGTATATTTATTGGATTATAGATGGCAGATAGTACATTAGAGGCAGCTACAGCTCTGGTACAGTTTTGCAGCAGTTGTCTGATACATGTAGCTCATTGTTCAGCTGTTGCCGCTGTATGAACTCTGAGGTTTCCTCAAGGATCTGCCCTGGGATGTGGAAGTCAGCTGGCGTGTTGTGCTGAACAGCTGATTCCTGAAGGCCCTCAGTCTCTGGCTCCTCTGGGCTGACTCTGCTGTGAGAATTGCAGGGCTCCAGATTGCATCCAGTGCCCTGAAGGAACTGCAAAAAGTTCTCCTCAATAGAGGCCTCGCGGCTGGGCAGCTGCTCTGCTTCGCTGGGCCCAGCCCGCTTAAAAAGGCAGGCCAGGTGGCGGCCCAGCTCCTCGCGAATCTGCCGGTTCAGGCAGCCGTAGAAGAAGGGGTTGGAGGTGAAGCAAAAATAGCCAATCCATGTGACTACGTCCTCCAGCTGGGCCAGGGAGGCGGGAGTGGTAGACGCCACGGCCGAGTAGAGATGGAAGGAGAAATATGGCAGCCAGCAGCAGAGGAACTGGCCTCCCACTGCCACCAGGACCACCGCGGCCTTACCGCCACTGAAGGTCCTTTGAGGGGTGTTGCGGGCACCAGTTCCACCGAGGCTAGCTGCCATGGTGGAGTGACTGCTGATGGACTCGGACCGTTGTCGCGGCGTGTCCATCCAAGTCGGGAGGGGGCCGTGCTGCATGGCCGCCACTCGTGCCACCTTGAACATGTTGCAGTAGACCACCAGTATGATCAGCATGGGGCACAGAAAATAGATGAATGTAAAGAAGACCATGAAAAGCAGCCTTGTGGTCCTGCCTCCCATCCATTGGAGGGAGCAGTGTCTCTGACCATGAATGAGAACTGAAGGAGTCCCCAGACCCTGGTTCCCCTGAAGCAGCCATCCCAGGAGAGGCAGCACTGACATGACAATGGCTTTAATCCAGATTCCCACGAGTACCATCACCACCACCCCCACTGTCATCTTGACCTCGTGACGCATGGGGTGGACAACGTAGTAGTAGCGCTCCACGTTGATGGCACATATGGTGAGAATGGCAGCACTGACTAGACACACACTCAAGCAGAGGTAGCTCCGACACAGCGCCTCGTCCACCAGGATTCGGTCTGACAGCATCCCCAGAGGCATTAACACCAGCGCTGCCAGCAGATCCACCAGACAGAGGTGGAACACGAAGGCAAACTTGCGCAGCTGCGGAGTTTTGGTGATGACAATCATCACGGCCAGATTCCCCACAACTGCCAGCACATCCATGATGAGCATAGCACACAGCGCCAAGGACAGGCTGAGATCAACCCCACCTCGGATGATTGCGATGGGCAGGGTAACGTTAGAGATATTCGGGTGCAGTGAGGCTGGAAACGTGGGGAGGCCGGAGAGAGAAGTGTTCCAGGAGGGGCTCGGTGTGACAGGACGCTCCATGAGAGCATGGGATAAGGAGGAGAGAGTCCGCTGAATTTCACGGGCCCATCACCCATCCTCCCCTGTCATAGGGTGTCACTGAGAAGCTCAGGCGGTGGTGTCTGTCATGGCAGCTTGTGCTGTACAGGCCCTGACCCCGGGAGACTTTAACCTGGAGCTCAGCAGACAATCACAAAGGTTTCACTCAGTTCCTTGTAACTTTTAGTAAAGATGTCCTTCTTTCTCAAATATGACCTGCAGTTGGAAAAATCTGAAACAAAAGAGATAGTCCTGTTTAAAAGGAGGCACACGTGAAGATTTGGCCAGTTAATAAAACACTGACTGATAATGCTACTTCTCCAATAGTAGTTTGACAAGTTTATAATATATGTACGTCACCAAATGGTGAAAAACTACATTTAAGGTGAAATATTATATATAATAATATTGCATGACCAAGACCTTGATGAAATATAGGGGTTGCAGGCTGCAATCTGGAAATATGGCTTGATAGATTTGTCTTCCCAAAAACCACCAGAATCATCTTTTGCTCAGACTAGAAATACATTCTGCAAATGGAGAGAAAATCCCTAAAAAACATCCATCTGATCTACAGTTAATGCAAATACTGACACTATAATCATCTTGTTTAGTCTATCCACTCATCAAAAGACAAATCAGAGCAGACTTAGATAAATTCAATGGAAATCTGCAAGCAACTGAATATTTTAATATCAAAATGCAGACTTTTGCTTTAGATGCAGTCCTTTGTAAAACATTGCATTATTTTTGTTGCTGTGACCCTTATTTGATGTATACCTCTATGAGTAGTGTTACGCTTGCACTATAGCTGCAAAGCTGTCAGACTTGAAGCAGCCTGCACTCACTTGTAGTATAATTTACTACGTATTTGACATCTGCATCCTCAGATGTGTGTTTTCAGGGCGTCCGACGCCCCAGGGAGAAGCTAAAAGTGCAGAGTGGACCATATGTCCCCCTTAACGGAGTCAAGAAACTGGATGAGTGAATAAACTGCGAAACTCAGCATTACAGGGCTCCCTGCTGTCTGAAGTGATGGGAGGAAAAGATCAATAAACACAAATATTATTACAATCATGAAAATATTTTTAAAAGTGAAATGCTTTTGTTTTTATATATTTATAGGAAAATACAGATAGGGATTTTTAATAAAGTCTATGTGGCTACATTACATTATGATCTAAAATTACTGTAAATGGTGACAGAGCTCTTTCAGCCACGAGTATAAGTAGATGTGAGACCAGTAAAGTAGTCAAGAGGCCCTGCGCTGTGTTTACTGTCATAACCTCACCTGGACGCAACCCCACACACTGTAAAAGCTGTGGAACGAGCACTAAGCCTTTGGTACATTTCCATATGCTGCACACCTGCATGTGCAAGTTTTCCATTTCACAAGTGTGACAGGCTTCATCCCTGCAAGGCGCCTGTTCTTTTTCTGCCCACATACGCACATCAAGCACGACAATCACCTGACAGACGCAGGCGCTTTTGCTGAATAGGTCAAAGGGTTACAGTCACCTTCAGCCCAATAAAATAACCAATAAACAACATCTCAGCTATGTAGCAACAACTGTGGAGCAGCCCTCTGGAGATTGTTAGTCTAATCAACATAGATTGTTTCATTGCTCTCTGGTGTCCGGGGTCACTTGCTCTAAGGACCACCAAAATTGAAATTCTTGCTGCAAATGAAACACATTATCACCATAACTCCCTGAGGTGAAATGTTCTAGTCCTTCAAAGAGCCTTTTATTACACAAAAAAACCCTAAAACGCATCCAAATTGAAAAAATGCGCCTGTTAGCTCTTTTAATGATCTCAGTTTTATCAAGTCCAAATCACACAAAACAGAACTATTTGAGCAATAAAAAGGGAAAAACAGAGACTTAGTGGCTCACGTGTAACAAAGCCTCTGATTTAATGAAATCAAATTAATGAGAGTCAAACAATTTATAGTTAAACTCTGAAGCTCCAAACAAAGTCACACAAAGCCAGAATATAAGGTTGAGGCAGAATCTCTTCGGCTGCCGACTAGAAACCATATGACCATTTAATATGCACATGACACAGTGTTTACTGCGAGGAGAAAACTAGCCTGTTGTTCAACTGTCCCTTAATTATAAAACACTTTCCCTCCTCTGCACAAACATGCAAGAGACAACCAGGAGTTAAAATTAACATATATGTGAAGTCTCTCCAGAAATGTTGTCCTTTAAGAGATCATTTGAAGTGTGAATGATGAAAGAAAACACTGGCTCTAGTATCGTCCTCCTGAGTCAGATTTTACCCTTGTCCCACCTTTCCAGCATCCTAACTTCCACCCCAAAAACATACACATCTCCCCAAACACACACTCCGTTAACAGGGCAGGTGTGTGTGTGGAGATGTGTGTGGTGATAAGTCGGTGACATACCTCAGTCTGGAGAGGGCTGCTTCCTCCTGTGCAGGTTCACAGTCTACTGAAGGAAAGCCGACCTGTTTCGCTCTCTCATACACACACAGCTAACACACACTGACACACACACACACACACACACACACATACACACACTACGTCACAGAGAGAGAGAGAGAGAGAGAGAGAGAGAGTGGGGAGAGTGGGGAGAGAGGAGAGGGGCGCTTCTGTGTGTCTCCTCCTCACCTGGCTCCTTTCATCTCGTCATCACCTCCCACCCAACCCTCCCCGTTCACAAGCTGACCGCCCCCATCCCTTCAAACACACACACACACAGACACCCTCCTCCCTCCTCTCAGCTCTCTTCTAGCCAGGTCTTCGATCCAGGTGGGAGAAGCAAAGCAGGAGCAGAAGGGAGAGATGGAACAAAACAAAAAATGAGTAGAGGGCTCCTGTCTTCCAGCCTGTGATGCACAAAGAGTGTACACACAGACACTCTTCCACCTCATACACTTTCATACACACATGTACTGGCTCCTGCACGCGCCCAGGGCAACTGCAGAGCCGTGCAGAGCAGACAGGCAGGCGGCGGGTGGGAAGGCAGCACCCAGCCTCCACTGTTCTCCACTGGGTCTTAGTGCCTTGCTGCCTCTGGGCTTCCTCATGGAGGGATGGCTCGGCTTTTTACCCAATAATCTCCCCGCAGGTCACATCAGGTCCCAGTAACAGGTGCAGAAGTGGCCAACAGTTAGGAGAGAAAATCACCTTAATTCCCTGGATCAGAATTTCTGTAATTCTCTGTCTCCTTATGCTGAGCTCACCAAGATCTCCCTCGATGCACAATCCGGCAAAAGCCGTCTCACGAGGCTGGATTATTGATTTGCAGAGAGGAAAAGAATCCCAGAGGTTAATGTTAATGAGCTGAGATTAACATTTACAAAAGCCACACAACATACATGTCACACTTAGTGAACTATTTCCTGCCCAGAGGAATAAGTTTGTTTACCACTGGAGTGTGAGGTGCAAGAGCCAATGGATTATGCAATTCAGATCTTGTGTCTTAACTCACATTTTTAGGATATTTTGTAAACATTAGTAGTCACTTTGTTATTATTTCATCAGGGAGACTCAGTGGAATCAAGAGACATGAGAACAAAAACATTTACAGTCAAACAACCAGCAACAATAACATATGTAATGTAAGACAATCAACAGAAAAGTATGATTATCTATAGTTGATTGACAGATAATTGATTGGAATTGTTACAGTCAAGCAAAAGTAAGAGATGTTTGTGTTTTATTTTATATTTTATTTAGCAAAGAAGGTTTTAAGGGACTTGGTTTTAAAAAAATATTTTATAGACTAAAAATCTATATATTCACTTATAATGGAAATAAGTGTTAGTTTGAAAAGAGTCATAAAACATCAAATAATAAAGTTGTTAAAATCTTCAAAGTGACTGAAAGAAAGAATCAAGCTTGAGAGCCAGTTGTAATTTATTTTAGCTAAGAGAGTCTCTAGAAATTTGACACATATTTTTGGATTTATAATTACATAACCATTTTGCAAAAACAGGCAAGAAAAGATGTAGAAAACACAGTAGAAAACACAACAATCCCATAACACAAGGTAGGAGATTATCTACAGACCTAAAAGGTGTTGGCTGAAGCTTTACAGTTTATTACACCTCCTCTTCTTACAATCATTGACAGTATATATACTTATAATACATAACCTGGTGTCAAAAGTAATATCAGGAAAATATATCTAACATTAAGTCATGTTTGGATCAATCCCAGTCCTATCATTTGAATAAGAGAATATATGTTAGCAGAACTTTATGAATATTATAAGAAGATGTCTTTTGTCATATGTCTTTGCATTTTGTCATTTTATGGGATATATCATCAGCTTGACTATCTTATTTTAGGATTAAACCCTTGTAAAGAGGTCGACCCACCATTCTGCCTCCAGCCCATATCCCCTGTGAATCATATTCATAGTAATAGTGCCAAATGAGGTGATTTAATAACAATGTGCTTTGGACACAAGAAATAACCTTTTGATATATGGAGGTGGCTGTTGTATCTGTCAACTCTACTAATTTTTTCATTCTACTGTATTTTACTGTGTACATCCCCTTTGTTATCCAGTGTACACTGTACAAGTTTTATTTTCAGGTGTTTTTTTTCTGTCTCAATTGATGTTCTGAAAATAGTTTATTCTTCCCTCAGGATTTGCATGAATGGACCACACATCAGTATGTGACATCCTTCTATCATGCAGTATATTTCCCAAAGAACTCATTCATCAGTGGAAGTGCAGCTCTTCTTCTTTTTACTGATAAATCAATCGGTAAATTAAACACGTTCATTTATTGATCCGCAGCTGTGTTACTGGTCCATAAAGGTTGCCTGACATTAACCTGCTTTGTCTTACATGTTGTTGGTTTTTGGTGGATTTCTTTTTTTTTCATATGATCTG